AGTTTTTCCACAGCTAATCAGTAATGTGTTATCAAACTAGGTGAGGGTGATTCAGGCAGGAGGAGTTTGGGAGCAGTTAAACATAGAGGTAAGGAATGGGTATTTAGTCACACAGGTTTGGGTTTATGTCCTGGTGGTGCCATGTTCAGCTGGGGGCCCCTGGCCAAGTTTATGAGATTTCCACATGTTATCTTCCTCTTCCCTAAAATAGAGAGGATAATACTGCAACTTACTTCAGAAAGTTGTGATTATATGAACTAATTAAGTAAACTCACACATAGAAAGTACTTAATAAAAGGAAGTTGTTAATTATTAATTACTGCCATTATTTGAGAGATTTTTAAGACACAAGCAAACTTAGGGCAGGCGAAGGAAGGATGGCTACTTTTCAGGAGTCATGGTGCTCTTACATTGTGGCTGGGATCCTGGCAGAGGCAGGTCTTCACTCATAGGGAGAAGGAGTTTGTAAAATAACTCCAAAATCCAACTGGGTACCACAGCCAAAAGAGCACAAATGCTGGCACTGGTCTTTGACAAGCCCAGGATAGATATCTGGAAAACTTAGCCTGGTTACTTATTCCAACAATGGTACTTACTCAAGAGAAGTTACAAATTTAAACCAGCAGAGAATGGTATTCTCTTAGAGCTAAAAGAAGCCCCTTAACTGGATAGGTCAGGACTCTGTCTTGGCAAATAGTAGATTGCTTTTAATGAGCAAACTTATTACCTCAAGTCCAGTGTGGCTGCCTGCCCATAGAGAGAATCCTGAATAGAAGAAAAATTTCTGGCTGGTTTGATGATATTCTGGAGATACAACTTAGTCATTTTTAAGAAAACACTTTATTCACCAGCCTAAAGAGACCGATACTTACCTTTGAGTACATGCATGGGAAGAAAGTAGGTTTGGTCTTGGAGTATAAACTCCCATCAAACTGCAGGTTCCCAGAGATATTGGTATTTCCTTGGGAGTTTATTGAGGAAATAGAACATAGCAGAGGAAAGGCTTTGGATGAACCCAGAAGTTCAAATGCTGGTTCTAGTCGTGTGACCTGACTCTTCATTGGTATCTACATTTATAGGATGAGGGTGAGAGGGCCTCACTTATAGAAGGGCTGAGGGAAAATAACAGTGGCAGCAAATATTTGAGAGTCCATTACATACCAAGAACTGTTCTAGCACTCCTATGTATCCACTTCTATAATGCTCACAACACTAGAGGAAAAGCTCAGTGATATCTTCAATCATAGACTAGGAACTTAAAACATAAAGTGGTTGAGAAACTTGTCCAAAGTCACAAGACTAGCAAATGAAGAGCCAGGCACTGTAAACCACGAGGCCACATCTTTTACCACTGTGATGAATGGCCACATGAAATAATGAGGAAAATGCTTCTTTCAGTGTTGAAGAGGTAGTTGGTCAATGTCGACTATCAGTCCCTAGCATAGCATATAGTATCTGCACATTCTCCTAAAGATTTTAAGAATTTATAAGAAAGTTTGGGTCCAGTCTTATCCAACGTATTCTTGGAGTTGGAGCTAATGATCTTCATATTCCTTCTGGGCAGGATGCACCATTTTGCTTTCTTTATAAAAATATTTGTCATTTTCTTCAAAGGCCACTAGAGAAAGGGAGTCATCCTTACAGAATTTTTTTTTCTAAATTTTGGTAAACAAGAAAAATGAAGTAAAACTGCACAATTTTAGTGAATCCTCATAAGCATCATTTCATTAGATGACAGACTGTAAGGCGGCAGGCCCAGTAATGTCAAATTGTGTATAAAGAAAGATCCCTGGGTAGTGTATTGGAGTAGAAGGCAATAAGCCTGGGGGGTAAGAGCACATGCTCTCAAGTCAACAAGCATGCATTCAAATTTGGGTTCCATCACTCACTACCTGATGACCTCATATCCTTCCATGTCTTGGAACATGTTTCCAAACACAAAGATCATCAGGATAAATATCACATGAAATTATTCAAGGAATCCTCTTAGCACTTAGTAAGTCTTCAACAAAAGTCCACTGCTCATATTGCTATTATCCCCAGCAAGGATCCAGAAGTTGGGCAAGGGTTACTAAGAAACAGGGCCAGGATTCAAGCCCAGATATCCAAATAATACAGTTCTCTTTCCATGTACAACTTTGCTTATGGGCCCCTTCTCCCCCAGAAAATCATTAGGACTCTGGCATGGCTTCTAATAAAAAAAATAGGCATTTAAAAAAATCTTCAAACCAAGAAGAGAATAGAACAAGATAAGGAGTACCTTAAAAAATTATAGAACAACCTGAGGATCAGATATAAAATCATCTTTTAAATAGGGCTAGGGCCGATGCCAGGAAGGCTTAACATACATTACAATGAAGAACACATAAGTGTAAGAAGGGACCCATAAAAACCACCAGCATGTGAAATACTGCCAAATGCTGTGTGCTTGCCAAGAAGGCAGCATCACTAGGCTGGATTCTAATGTTCCTCACTGCAAAGCAAATAAGCTGGGTGTTAATTAAAGTGTATAAGTTGATTCTTGAGGTAGTTGCCTGGGAAAAGGAATCCTACAGAAGAGTCTCTTCCTCTCAGAGAGTTCTTTTGAAATTGTGGATTTTCTGCAAGGGAAATTATCCAAAGCAAACACACCTGTGTATTCTCTGCTTCGCATTGCTTGCAGGGCTAGGTAGCTTGTGAGCAAGAGATTTATTGTGCTAGTTTCTTTATTGTGCCAATGAACTGGCATCATATCTGCACTTCACAACCACCTCACAGGCTATGACAGAGGGCAGCAGTCCTCTGTCCATTTCGCAGAGGAGAAACATGACAAATGGAGGTGCTAAGGGACTTGCCCACAGTTGCAGAGTGGTAGAGCCCATAGAAACACTTTGATCCCCTAGTCCCAAATATAAGCCTCTTCCCACCCTATAAATGATACCCCAAATAGCAAAAGATAGGTGAGCGAAGCCTGATAAGAATTTAAATGAGTGACCTGATGAAGCAAGGCTGGAAGGATACACTCTTAGCTTTCTGAAATCTTATTGGCATGGTGAGTGTGCAGTCATGGCTCTCATCAATACCACATTTGGTTCAGAAGAGCATGCTGAGCTAAATCAGAGGCAGTAATGTTTATTGACACTGGTTAGTGAACCAGCCTTATCATACCTTGCTATTTCTCAGGAAACTAAGTCCTCTTAATGCCATTTACCTTTTTTCCCTATGTTACCCCAGGAATGAAATAAAGTGCCCCTTGAGCACTTGAAAATTCAGGTGCTTTTTATTTCAGTTTTAGACCAATGGTTTTTGCCTTGTCAAGGGAGTTTGAGGGGAGGTATTGAATGAGAAGGAGGCATCCTGGTGGTCAAGGTATCTCCTGATCCTTTCTATTATTCATTTGCCCTGTTAACCCAGCTCTGGCTATTACTGGGAAATCTGCTAAGCCTTGGGGATCCAGGAGTGTCCAGCAGGCAGAAGACCTGGAGGCTCCCCTCCCTCATGGAACTTGTGTTCTACTGGGGAGATGTACAATAGACAAAAGGACAGAATTTCAGATGGTCATCAGCATTGCAAAAATAATTAACTTGAAAGGAGCATAACTGGGGGTGATAGTGGCAATATTGGGCCCATTTTAACTTGAGCTGAATGAGCATTTTAGGATGCCCTCTGAAACAGACAACATTTGAGCTGAGCTGAAACCTGACTGAAGAAAGACAAATATAGGAAACGTCCAGAGCAAAGTGTTCCAAATGGAAGGAAGACTAGGCACACAGGTCCCAAGGAGGAAAAGAATATAGGCAGCCAGTGTTGTTGGCTCACATGAATTGAGGGATTTATATTAGGTAAGATTGGGGCATGGGCAAGAGGTGAGGTCATAAGAGGTCTGGTAAACCATTCTGGGGACACTGGATTTAATTCTAAGTGTCATAGTGCACCAACCCACGGTCTGTCCTCTGAGTGCATTCTTTTTCCCCTTCCACCATGGGCTCTGGTGTTTTAGACCAGCTCCACTGCTCAGCTGCACAGTCTCTAAATTCTTAATGGCACGGATCATGTAGATTACATATTGCTGACAGGGGACTCCAAATAATCTCCAATTCACAAGAAGGGGACATTGAAGCCTCCAATTCACAAGAAGTGGAGACAAGGTGTAAATTATTTCTTGAATATGGCAACAGGAGATGGAGGCTGTCAGCTTTGTTCCGACTGGAGAAAGCTTCCTTACAAAGCCTCTTTATAGGTGGTTGTCCCTTAACAGCCCTGTACATTTTGAATCTGGAGGATCCTAGACTAATTATGACCTCATTGATTTAAGTCCAGAGCATGGACTGGACCTGCAAACATTGGTTAAGGTCAGTTAACCTGAGCTTCATCATCCTCATCAGTAATTGTAGATAATACCAACACCTGACTCAGGGACTTGCAACAAGATAAATAGTTCACCCTCATGCTTTACAAACCATAAGCTTGAAATAAGTTCTCACTGTTACAGTTTTTAGTCTCCATCATCAAAAAATGAAATTTGTCCCACTCTCTCTCTTCCTCACACATGCGCACTTACTTCAAAATCCTGCATAGTGATTTTGTAATCTTTTGGAAGAGGTGCTGGAATAGTATAGTTAATGACCAATGCCTGTACGTTATGACTCGTCATACAAGTAATTCATTCCTCACTATAGGAAACATTGGCAGAGGTTGCCTGCTCATCAGCATGTAGAAAAAGCCAAGTCCACCTAGATGAATTACCACCTGCAGCTGCCCTCATAACCCAGTCAACTAAACGCGCAGGGCTTTCCAGCATGGGCAAAGAGCTCCTCAGACAGAGTCCCTGGGAGCCTGACGCTGCTGGTGGCTAACAGGGGACATAGCTCCAGCCCCCAGGACCCAGGGTACTGGGGATGAGGCCAAGGACAAGCTCAAAGGCTCCCTTTGAAGTAACACCCTGCTCCAGGCCAGCAAGTGGTAGAGAGAGCTAAGGAAAAAGACCAACCCCCAGTCTTAGTATTAAGTAGGATGCTTACCTCCTCTTTCCTTGGTACAAGCTCCACAGCTATGACAGGGGGAGTCAGGACTCCTTCTGGTGGGACACGAAAGAGAGAGCCTGGGCTGCTACCATCTCCAGTTATCCCTTCAAAGAGGAGTGAGTGCCAGTAAAAACTTTCTTCCCATCTCTGGCTGGAGCAGGCAGCTTCAACCGCTTTTAGAAGCCCAACCCAACACAATTCCTCCAAAACATTTCCTCCTCTCCTGCTGCAGAAACTTGCTTAGCCCCACCCTCTCCAAGGCTTCTAGGCTCTTCTTCCAAGTCCTGCATCTCCACCCTCCTCCTCCTCTTCCTTCAAAGCTCCCTGGCAGGGCTGGCCTAACCAGCTCAGGTACCCAGAGCTAACACCAGAGAGGATGCCTATGCTGTTAGCTGGTTGGTGGTTGATTTGGTCTCCATCAGCTTGGTGCTGGCCCCTCCAATTTATTTTGAGAGGGAGCCCCTGAATTAGAGCCAGAACTTGGGCACCTGGCCCAGATATGGGAGACCAGATAGTATCCATTTTCTGGTGATTGATTTAGAAACTTGTAGAAATTCGAAGACCAAGTGTCAGAATATGGGTGTTTTGTCTAGCTGCTTCACAGGGTAACTTCATTCCAGGCCAAGCAGCTATATCTCTATGCCAGAGACTTAGCTATATTGCACCCCTATTTCAGGGGCCCCATCTTGTCTCATGACAGATGTAGCAGCCACCTTTTTTTCTCAGTAAAAAAGGTGAGGGGGAGAAACTTGAGAGACACTTTGAAATCTGAGCACCAGGCTGAAAAGAGAGATTTCATTTCTTCATCTGTGTTGGGGAGATCAGCAAAAAAAGCACAATGACACACTCCAGCTCTATTATTAACAAGCACTTAGTCATGCCAATTAATGACTGTTCCTCTAAATCCACAGGTGGTCTTAAAATAAAGCGTTAAATTATCTTTGAAAAAAAAAACAATCATTGCTCAGGTTCCAAATCTAAGCATTGGGGATTTTATATCCTTGCCCTGGTAAGTTAGTATTCCCTCTCTCCAGATCAGAGATGTATAGATCTTCAGATTCATAGGAATGATCTGGGGTTTTAAAAATGCAGATTTCTGCATGAAACTCTCGGATTCCCAGAGATTTAAAATACAGATTCTAAAACTTATCCCCTCAGGATTCTGATGTGAGTGCTCTGGCTCCTGTGTTTCAAGGAATTCTGTCCTAGAAGAGGTCTACTCTCTTCCCAGCCTGCCATTTCTTGATGTCTTTTAAACTCCACAAGGACCAGTTGTTTCCATTGTTTTCTTTTTTTTTTTATAAATTAATTTTTATTGGTGTTCAATTTACCAACATACAGAATAACACCCAGTGTTCATCCCGTCAAGTGTCCCCCTCCGTGCCCGTCACCCATTCACCCCCACCCCCCGCCCTCCTCCCCTTCCACCACCCCTAGTTCATTTCCCAGAGTTAGAAGTCTTTATGTTCTGTGACCCTTTCTGATATCTCCCACACATTTCTTCTCCATTGTTTTCAATTCATGCTTCTACCTCAGGAATTTCCCAGCTGGCTCTAGTGTGTTCCTCCTCCCTTTAACTTACAAATGAGCTTTGTCAGATGAGAGAGTGTTAAGACTCACAGATATTCCAGCTGTAAAAGACCTTAGAAGTGATGTCATTGAAACTTTTCTTATCCCACCAGAAAAGATGTTAAGTCCTAGCTCTGCCCTTTCTCCCTTCTGACATCCAGACCTAAATTATTGCCACTACTACACTACCTTTCCCAAAGCTGCCTCCTCTCATGCCAACCCTTCCCGGGCTCACTCCCCAAGGTACTACTCCTGGAGAAGAAGCCAGGTTCATGGGCCCTGCAATCAATTCCTCTCCCTCCTCCATGGCTGAGGCAATATGTTCAGGTTTCTTATTTCTTCAGTCAGATTTAGTGTTAGAACGAGATTCTCACCTCCCACTTGCCCCCCCAAAAGGAGTTATTGTACAGGCAATATCTTATATGACTGTCCATCCCAATCATTTACATCACAAGGCAAGAATGACAGGACCCATTTGATTTAAAACACATTTACTTAGCACCTAATATGTGCAGGGGATTGTGCAGGCACAGCAAGGGGTATGAAGAGGACCAAAATGTGTTAGTGATGATGTCATTGCTATTATGGGCATCACTTTACCAGTGAATCAGGAGGGAGCACTGGGTAGACACCAAATGATGAGAGTGATGTGGAAAAACGTGGGTGCTTTATTTACTTGAGGGGAAATGATCTCCTGGAGCTGCCCTCCCCATGCTAGTGGTAGCTAAGATGATCCCATGTGATAAAATAGAGAAACTAAAATTAAATATTTTCTCACCTGGCCAATGCAGTTCCACAAGTCTTTCCCAGTACTCATAACCTTTAGACAAAATGAATGGCTGCATAATATAGTGGTTACAAACACATACTTTGGCACAGAGTGCTTATATTTAAACCCTTCTCCACCAGCTCCCAGCTGTGTAGTTGGGCAAAGGGCCAAATGTCCCTGGGGGTAATTAGGAGCAGATAGTAGTACTTCCATCACAAAACAGTTACGAGGATAATATCAACTAATATATATATATATATATATATATATATATATATATATATATATATGTGCTTTTAAAGTGAAAGGGCTTAAATATTATTCAGGAGATCCTGAATGTTGTTACCATGCATTTATTTGCACTATGAAAGACTTTTCTCACCACAAGACCAATAATATCTTCCAAATATTTGCTCAGTTTGATTCATACTTCTCACTTTTATGTTTAAGGTTCTTTCTTAGTTTATCCATTCTTTCCTCCATGTATTCATATAAAGAAAGAAAGAAAGAAAGAAAGAAAGAAATATATATATATATAATTGAGGATATACTGCGTGCCAAACAGTGTGCTAGGTCCGGGGGGTACAATGGGTGAACAAATAAATAGCCACTGTCCCTGCTCTGAAGGAGTTCATAGTACTGGCATACTAGATATTGATTGAACAATCACAGAAAAGTTGTGATATTATGATTATCATAAGTATTAAGAAGGAAAGCTCATGAAAAGGATTTGACCTGATCAGGGGCTAGGGTAGAACTGAGATGTGAAGGAAGAAGTGGAATTAACTATGTAGAGTAGAGGTGGTGTGTCAAAATATTCTAGATCAAGAAATGGCCATGTGCCATGTGTATTAGTCTGTTTTGCTGCAGTATTAACTGACCTCCGCATCTCAGTGGCTTATACTGTAAAGTTTTATTACTTGTCTATCACTCACAGGTAGGCTGTAGGTTAATGGTAGCTCTGCTTGGGCCATGACTCTGCCTCTCATTCAAGGACTCAAACTGAAGTAACAACACCAATGTGGGACATGCTATTCTTGTAGTAGAACAAAAGGTCAGGAGCACTGTTGGAAACCTTGAACATAACTCTGAAGGCTTCTACTTGGATGTAGCCTTGTCATGTTTGCTTACATTTCTTTTGATGACAGTGAGCTTTTAACATTCTCAAAATCCACAAGAAGGGGCCATTGAGGCCTGAAAAGTAGAGATCAAAGCCAAACTCAGGGCAGCCCCAGTGGCTTAGCGGTTTAGCGCCGCCTTCAGCCCAGGGTGTGATCCTGGAGACCTGGGATGGAGTCCTGCGTCAGGCTCCCTGCATTGAGCCTGCTTCTCCGTCTGCATGGAGCCTGCTTCTCCCTCTGCCTGTGTCTCTGCCTCTCTCTCTCTCTCTCTCTCTCTGTCTCTAATAAATAAATAAAATCTTTAAAAGAAAAAAAGCCAAACTTAAAGCCAATGGGACAGAGATGTAGAATCCTCAACACAGAGATGTAGATGTAGATGTAGACATAGTACTTACTGTACATGGCAGTGAGCAGGAACATAATACTCTTATAGGGAGGGGATGGGAATATATAACTGTAAAAACAATCTAATCTACTATGCTAAGGATCTGTGATAGAAAATAAATGGCAAAAACCTGGAGACCTGTCTGGCTAAGGCTGAGTTAGTGGGAATGTAATAAGGGGAGACTGGAGTAATAGGTAGAGCCAAGCCATGTAAGAGAATCTGACTTTTACACTATGAGCAATGAGAAAACACTGACCTTTACTCATTCAATCTTTTTTCCTTAGTTGTTAAAAGAACATTTTCATGTTTTTCTGGTTTCTAAAGCATACATATTTATTATAAAAATGTGGAAATGACCAATAAATAAAAAGAAAAAAATACAAATCACCCTTAACTTTACAACTCAGAGAGAACCATCATTCATTGATATTTTGGTGAATATGATTTTAGATTTTTAGATGCTTTTTAGTGTATAGGAAGTACTTTTAAAATGAAAATTGGATCATATTTTTCATCAGTTGCTATGAATATTTTTCAAGTTATTAAATATTCTTTCCATCACAATCATCATCGTATGGATGCATCATAATTTAACTAATGCCCACCTGTTAGATGTACATATTTTTGTGATTTTTCCATTTTACAAAAATTCAACATAGGTTTCATTTAATAGACATGGCATTTTTATCTTAAAATGTATGATAAATTTTGAAGGCCATTGATATACATTGCTAGTTGTCCCTCAAGAAAAGTTGTAGCCAATCATATTTACAACCTTAGAGAAGGATTTGCTGACTCTGTTGATAATTATCTTATATTGCCAATTTAATTAGTGGAAGATATTGTCTTATTTTTATTTTGCATTTATTTGGTAAGTAAGAACAGACTTTATTTTATATAATTCCCAGTGCTTTCATCAGGGAAAGATTTATTTGATTAACCATGGGTCTTTCAGATCTTCTACTTGGAATGTACTCATTTCCTCTTCAGATAATTGTAACTACTTTATCCCCTTCAACTCGTTATGAGATTTTCTTCTGCTTCCTACCAAACACATTCTCTGATTATCCCTGCCCCTGATTATCTCCTTGCTGTGGGAGCCAGTAGAGGATATGGGCAGTTGGTTCTATGTATATGCCGGGATGATATGGTTTGCATGTACTCTGTCTCCCCAAATGGTGAGGGTGCCCTCTTGTGATTGTGCAGTGTCTCACTCTGTGCTCTGCATGTGTTATGATGCACAAATATTTATGAGTAATCGCATGATGGCACATGGGTGGGTAATTTTTGACTTGATGAATGGCTCAGTTGTGGAAACTTGCACTAGCTATATTACTAAATGATTGTGGACCAAAGTAATTTCGAATGCCACTCAGAATCTCTTT